AATACATTTAAGAAGGCAAACACACAGCTGTCCTTGTGAAACTGAAAAAGCAGAGGTGAGGTGTCACAACAGTTCATCACGTCTTGAAACTTTTCTATTTTGTCTCTCTTGTCTGCAAACTTTTTACCTTTTTTTCACCAGTTTTTTTAATGTTCCATGTCTCACTAACATGTGTACGCTCCCATTTCTGGCAAATGGATCCGTGTTGAACACAGCATCACCTGACACTGATTCATTCACTGCATAAAGAAACAACGTGCTGTTTCACAACAGAGAGGAAATCTTTCCTCAAAGACAAAGCTAACGTGTCTGTTGAGGTCTACTCTCTGAGTCTTGATGTTAGTTTAATGAAAGTCAATATTGTACACATCAGAAACACATCTGCCATTTCTTCTGCATTTCATTATATAACCTGTTTGCTTATAAATGTGCAACACAGTAGGTTATGTCACAAAGTGTACTTTAGCTTTTGTTTTAAAAGAGGACCGAATGTCTTCTGCATTCATTTCATTTCTGTAATTGAACATCTGGAGCTGTAAAGGGGAACAAAACCTGAATGTCAGGGACATGAAAATCAGAGTTTCACTTTCCTTTTGACTGGGGGTGAATTTCAGGAAGTGTCTGTATGGCTGTGCTTTGGGTGACTGTGCTAATGTTCAGGCGAGCAGTGGTGCAAATCAGAATCTCCTGCAACAGGTCACAGCTGCACCACAGCAATCTGTACGCGGTCTCATTTGAGGGAGGTTTTTGTACGACTCTGTATCACTGTGTGCGCAGTCCCACATATGCTCCCATACAGTAGTAATCTCCTGCATCCTCAGCCTGGACTCCACTGATAGTCAGAGTGAAGTCTGGTTCAGATCCACTGCTGCTGAAACGACTGGGTGCACCAGATTGACGGCTACTTATTTTGTAAAACAGCAGTTTGGGAGGCTGTCCAGGTTTCTGCAGGTACCAACTGAGATCATCGTCGACGCCTGCACTTGCTGTACAGCTCAGAGAAACCCTCTCTCCCACTCTAGCAGACTTTGATGCAGGAGACTGAGTCACAGACGGATTGGCCGTCGATCCTACAAGAAAATAAGACATTTCCATTGTGTTTAATATATTATATAAAGAACAGTTCAAACTTACAACCCTTACTTACTCTGTTTAGGTAAAGGTTGGTTCGTGCAGTAGCTATAGAGTCAAATAAATCAGATCAGTTTCTCACCCTGATTGTAGACTGCCAGCATCAGCAGGGAAACCAGTAACATCTTCATTATGGATATGTTTGTGTGAGTGTGATAGATTAAAACAATGTTACCAGGCACAAGACATGGCGCCTTAAAAACGGCTGATGCGCAGTGAAGCACAGCAGATATTCAAATTATAATGAATGTGGGTGAACACTCACGCCTGAGTGCCATCTGTGCGTTTCTGCTACAGAAAGATGAATACCGCCCTCTTGGGTCAAAATAGGAGAATGTAAACTAATTTGAATCGTTCATATCACGGATGGATCCTGAGCTTATGAGCCCCTAAACACAGACATGTAAAAGACCCCCCATCCCTCTATTCTAGGAGAAAGACCCTCACACTCCATGTAGTATGACTTTGTGGGTTTCCTTTTCTCTGCGTTTTGGTTGTTATGCATCTCTTCGTAGTCTCTTTCAGTGATCTAGACACAAGTCTTAGGTCCACCTTTAATAATAATTTACATACTGTATGGATGATATTCAACGCCAGAAGTTGTTGGTTTCATGATTAACAACACAATCATGTTTAAACTCTTCAATCACTCATATTAAACGTATAACTGGAATGTGTTTTCAGGTCAAAGGCCACATAAGTGTTTTCCAGCCTGTTAATAGTATTTGCAAGTACTCCGTATGCGTGTCAACCTGTTGAGTACCATTCGAGCGGGTTTTACATCATCGTGCATCTGTTTAAGGCAGTAAATGTTTTTTAAATGCTTTCCAGGGATTGTCTAAACTGGAACATCTCATCTCAACCCCATCTCATTTAGTACTCAAAGTTAAAACATCACTTCCAAACACTGCTTGACTCAGGTGTGGCTCGATTGTCTCAGGCTTATCAACGCATTTTATGGTTTGGAGTCCATAATTACACAGTTTCAGTGAACCGAGGATGAATTGGTACACAAAGAAAATGTCTTCTGTTGTGTTAGTTACAAATATGAAACAATGATAAACATACTTTTTAAAAGCTGTTAAAATAAAAAAAAAATAAAATACAGGACATCACCAACACATGATATACAAAAAGAATTCAAAGTCTTCCTCCAGTTCCAACGCATTCAAACAAACATTTTCATACAGTTTTTGTGTCGAACTCGCACCAACACACCAACAGTAAGGCATCTATTGTAAAAGGGACAGCTAAAGACAGAACATCTAGAAGAAACATGGTGAGTGTTCAGACGGCTTTGCATAGTGTGCAGAAGAGTCTGCACAGAGAGTTTGACAGCAGAGGTGTGTGAAGTCTGAGTCAAGTCCATTGACGATAGTGTATTTTGGTGCCTGGTAACAGCTGAATAATTGAACGTTTCATGTACAAAAACTTGAATCCCATTCCAGTGACGTACAGGGTAAACAAGGACATACTGGTATGGCTTTTCCGCTGCGTTGTCCCGATGGTGTGGGCTACAGTACAGCACAGTATTGGTACACTCTATAGTTTTCCACGCCACTTTCAAAGCTATTGGACCCGGTCAGGAAGCACATGTGTAGCCATAAAAACAGCAACAGTGGTAACAAGTTGCAACGGTTCCAGTCTCTCCACACACCAAAATTCTTGGGATATTGTGAGATATCTCAAGTGATAAAACTTATATCCGATAGAAAAAATGTAATGTACTATAAAAAAAATATTTGCTATAATAATAATAATAATAATAATAATAATAATAATAATAATAATAATAATATGTCTCATAGCTGAGAGAAGCTCCTAACTGGCCGAAGAAAAGGCTCAAAATAAGAGCAACTTCTTCTCAAACTACGCCAAAGAGTAATTCACAGAGCAAATTGGCATTAAAAGTTACCTCTGAAGTCATTACCTGCTGCAGCTAATGCACAACGTCTTTTATATTGAAGCATATTTTGATGACAGCTCACCAACAAATTCAAACAATCCAGTAACAGCAGAGATGATGGTTTGCATAACTCGCAAACCAGTTTGCAGCCCTGAAGAAGTTGGACTAGCATTGGCATTCCTCATACCGAAATGCCTCCAAAGGACTGATTAGATGTTTTTGTGAATATGGCACTTGATGTGTGAATAATCTTGAACCTTTGCAACAGTGAAACCACATTCCTAATATGCATACTGTAGTAAGTAACCAGTGTCAACATCAACAACAACACACACACACACATGCTCTGGCTGCAACAAATAGAAAAAACACCTTATGGCTGTGATATGCGGCTTTAGAACAAGGCACAAAAAAAGGGAAGGAGAAATCTGGCACCAGTACAGAAACACCGCAGAGGAGTTTTGTGAACCTCTGGGGCAAAAAAAAAAAACAAAAAAAAAAAAACTAGCAGGTTGCTGATGGTCATCAAACGCAGGAGAAGATAACGGCTGGTTTGGCTGTCGTTGGCATCCGCTCTTATAGTCCTGAGAGACTGGGATTTAGCGATTGCTCCTCATGGCCTCCTTGGCTGCCAGGATGAGCGGGGTGAGGCTGGACAGAGGCTTGGCCAGCTTCAGGAATGGGTGCTACAGACAGACGGGCAAAGGAGGGAACGCATGGAATAAAATGTGCCGAGGAAGGAATTTCATTTTTCTGGATTAACTCACATCAGTGACCTACGTACAGTACAAGACAATTAACTTGAGTCTTTTTACAGGCACACATGCTAAACAAGTTCCAGCTTCATAGTTGTGAAGACTTGCTGCTTTGCGATATCTTACAATTTTCTGACATTTCTTAGACAATATCAAACAATTTAACGACAAACAAATCGGCAGATTAATTGCTATTGACAATATTTTCATCTGCAGCCCTGACGTGCGTTATATTTCTGAGAGGGATGTATTGATATAGCGAGTGTGTCGGTCTCCTCTCTTACCTGCAGCAGTTCTCTGCCTGATCCTCGTTTCTCCACATCCATCTCCAGACAGCGGGACAGGAAAGATCTGAAGACAGGAGACAGCTTCTCTGGACTCTGCAGCTCAGGAGTCCCATTGGTGGCGATTAAATACAATGCCTAAGACGAGCATAGTGTCATGGGAAGAAAAGGCAGTGGGTTACAATCTTTAAGTAATCTAATAGGAATTGAATAGCAACCTGTCCATTGTTTCTCTCGGCAGACACTCACCCTGAGAGGGTTCTCGTTGAGGTATGGAGGCTCTCCCTCCACCATCTCTATGGCCATGATCCCCAGAGACCAAATGTCCACTTTGGGGCCGTAGGCTTTCCTGGTCACCACCTCTGGAGCCATCCAGTACGGGGTTCCCACCATGGTGCTACGTTTGCTCTGCTCTGGAGTGATCTGGGCACAGAAGCCGAAGTCAGCTGCAAAGAGAGAGAGAAAAACAATAATTAGATATCCAATCAGATATGTGCAATATGTGTCTGTGGATCTGTGCATGTTTGCACGGTCTCTCCCTCTTACTGAGTTTGACTGATCCGTCCATCCCCAGCAATACGTTGTCACTCTTGATGTCTCTGTGGATGACCTGGTTGGCGTGAAGAAACTCCAGAGCCTGGAGGACCTGGATGCAGAGAGGGAGTAGGGTTAGGATCCCCCAAAAGCAAGTCCACGTGTGACGCGATACTTATTCCTTCCCATCCTTTCACACTATTCCACTGACCTACAGGTGGCAGTAATGCACAAAAAAACCCCACAGTAATATGCCGGCAAAGGCCGGGAAGACAAAGAGGACTGCAAGATAGTAAACATGGATGTAATCAGGTTCCAACACTTTGACAGGTTTTGTAGAGAATCATACCTCTCTGCAGACGGCTGCGATCTGAGCCTCGTCCATGCACGTCTCCGTCACAACATCAGTGAGGGAGCCACCAGCCAGGTACTCCATCACCACGAAAAGCTCGTCTCCTACGAGGAAACTAAACACACACACACACACACACACACACACACACACACACACACACACA